GAACCCAAACTATGTGAAAAAAACATAGTGTCTAGCTTCCGTACGTGCTGCGCTAGCAAAAATGCGCGCGCGTAGTGGAAAATTAAAAAAAAATTTGAAATGCTCAAAATGGCCTGAAACGTGCTCTATGTTAATGCTCACTTAATACGATTTCGAAATGGCAATTGGTTAGGCTGATATGATCGATAATGTAAAAACGCAAAATTGCGCGTAGATGACGTCACGCTTGACTGAGCGCGTTGAAAAGCTTACCATGTCTATTCCAGACCAAGCCAAATGTTCGCTGACAGCGATTGTGCGTAACTCGTGGCATTTTTTGAGATATCGTGCGAACAGAAAAGGGGAGAAAGAAAGGAGAATAAGAAAAAAAAGATGATCCTGACAATAACAAGAGGTGATCCGCTACTAGCGGATCACCAATTTAAAATTCATCATCATCATTTACAGGTAAAAGATCTTGAATTGTTTACTGCCTACAACAAGGATACTGGGACTCACCAGGGCTGTAAAACAACTCATGGCCCTCCATTACCGCCCTAGTTCCCACATACTGTACAACCAGCATTTTACGCTTTGTCAAGACTTCAACGCCAGTGATGACAAAACTGATAACTACAATGAAGGAAAGTCCCCTCCTCAGCTGTGGTCAGTTTACAAGAAAGACATCCACACAAATTATGACGTTGAAGGGTACTGTAGGTTTTCTTTCTAGCTTAACAGTGCTCAATTATAGGAACAAATTAAATGCTGCAAGGAGCGTGGTACAGTGAAACTAAGGGGCTTGAATCCTCAATATGGATAAGGATCGTCCCATCAAGTTTAAGAAGTGGGAGGAATTACAAGAAAGAGATGATAAGAAGAAAATTAAACTGGTAATGAAGGAAGGGATGACAGAAGAATGCATCAATCAATTCATTCAAGAAGTCGACAGGATAGCACTTTATTTATTTATTGCCGCTTGGCAACACCAACAATATAAATGTATGCTTGACAATGTGTATGTTGACCTGACCTGAGGTTAACATCAGTGAGTTTTATTCACGTGACCTGTTTGGTGGGTACATTGCAAATGCAAAAGAGTGAAAGCATTTATGACTGAATCTGGAGCAAGGATTTCTAAAGTTGCTTCTGCTGTGTTTTACTGGATAAATGATAATCAACAGGTTTATTGAATTTTGGCCTGTCATGTAGATGACTTTATCTGGATTGGTAATTGAGTAATTTCACAGTAAATGGACATGATATCCTAACATTTTCATGGAAAAATAGAATACAGATGATTTTGGCTAAACTCTGTGGAACAGAACATATGATATCAATGGAAAAGGGGTATTATAAGATAGTTAAATTATCTTTTCAAAAGAAATATGCATGTTTGTATTTTAATACACTACAAATCCTATTCCCATGTAACCGACGAACAGGATTTTGACATACATTTGGGTCAATGACTTTCCATTGTGGATGCACTAAAAATAAAATGCATGATTACCAATTTTTTTTTTATTTCTTACTGTATATATTCACTAATTTGATAAACATTTAAAAGTAACAGATATATTTCTTTTTTAGGAATATTGGGCCATTTTTAACTTCCTAAATTTTTGACATACAATGTTACGTCCGTTACAAAAACCATCAAATTGCATATTTTTTAAATAAAAAAGGGTTTTATTTTTCTTTCTAGTGTTTTATCTTATTAGTTTCCAATATATTTCTTATAGAAATAATGAATCCATCCTTATAATACAATTTTTTTTTAAATATCTTACATCTAATTTTAGACATTTTTGTCATGTAACATTTTTGTACGGTGAAATATGGCTAAAAAGTATGTCAATATATCATATTTTTTACTGTGAATTGTGTGATCATGAAATGATTTTTAATATGTATACTCATTGATATGATAATATAAATGTAAAAATATTTAATTTTAAACAATAAAATCTTTAGTTATAGCTTCCTAAAAAATATTGCTTGGAGCATGTCTATTTACTGTGAAATTGCTCAATTACAAATTTGGAGAAATAATTGCAAAAATTAAATCAGCTTTTAGGGTGGGTAAAGAAAGCAATGATGCATTTAAGATTGTGGCATTGAACTTAAGGAGATTAATAATATCATTCATCTTGGTCAAAGTTAATACACTAAATCCCTAAATCCTATACAGATCAGTGGTAATAGAGCATGTGAAAAGGATTCACTCTTGTCAGAAACAGAAAAGCATAATGAATTTGATAA